ACTTGGTTTAAATTTTTTTTATATAGAGTGTTGTTTTAGTTTATATATTGCTGAAATGTATTTATGCTGATCAGTATTTTATATAAATCAGAATCTTATAATAATGGTTGACAAGAAGGCTTTAGAAGTTGTAGGTGGTATGAGTCAGAAAAACAGGAAGATGGGAAAGAGTTCCAATAGGTTGAAGTACAAGGTAAAAAAACCAGACAAATAAAAGTTTTTAAAGCATGCTGGGACAGATGCAGTACAAGAATGAGATTTTGCTGAATTACGAGTCAAGCAAGAATGAGTTTTAGTTAATGCAACTAAATATAATAGCTCCTTCAAGCATCAGCCGTGTTTGTATTTGTAGCAAAGAGAAATAGATTCAGCTTTATGACAATGGGAAGAGGTCCAGAGAGAGGTCCAGCTACGTTTACAATGCATTTTTAAACCTTTTCTAGAATATAAAGAATGTCGGTAGAAGAACCAGCCCAAATATGATAACAGTATTCCATAGAGGGATGAATTAGAGATTTATAAAGTTGTGATGATATGATAATGGTTGGAGGTTGGCTGCAAGAGCATGTCCAATAATGAACAAAGGGAAAGGGAAAGAACAATAATGAACAAAGGGAAAAGTGATAGAGTGAAGAGGTGCTAATTGGAAGCAAAAAAAGGGTCAAGGGGTTTAAACCAAATATCTGGACAAACAGGTGAATTGATACAAGAGTATACGCTTAAGCCAAGCTTTTGACAATTAGAGCGATTGCGAATTAAAGGATAGTTCTCATCAATATTGAGATTTGAAGAAGGAACAGCTGAATTTAAAATAGTCTCTCAAAGAGCAAGTAAGTCTAGTGAATTTTACAACAGATTCAACTGATGGAAGGTTACTTCACAGACTAAGAACATTTTTTAGTTAACCCAAGTTATAACATAAAGCTCCTTATGTGACCTCAGCAATTGGACACTATCCATGCACAAGGTGACACAGTTAATACTCTGATATGTTTTGACTGTTTAATGAAATAGCCTCTCTGAGAGCTACAATAGAGTTTGAGAAAACTTTACTACCTGCCGGCGTCAGAGACATTAAACTGAGTTTTAGAACTGTACTTTCATTAAGAGGTAATAGGAAGAGTTTACATAAGCAAAAATCTATGAATACTTTCAAAAAGATCCACCATTCATTATCCTAAACACAAAGCAATGTAATAGAGGTTTACATCTACGCCAGCCTAATAGATGAAGAAAGAGTTCAAAGTTTTAAACTTTTTGTTATTTAACTGAAAGACAATCCTTTCCAGAAAGTTGTAAAGAAAATTTTTATTTTCTTTCTGGAAAGTATAGTCAAAACAAAAACAATTGCAAGCAGCCGTGGCGCAAAGGTAGCGCACTTGCCTCAGAAACGTAAGATCCGTGGTTTAAACCCCACCTCTGGGCAAGTTTTGCGACATCGTTTGGGAAGGAGGCATGAACTTCCTATTAAATGCACTTCCGCGGTGCTCTGTGATAAGACCGTGAGGACTTCTTGGGGCACCTTAATCAACTTAAAAAAAAAAAAATAAAAAAAAATGCAGTTGATTTATGCAGATTATTTGAATGCAAGCCAACACAGCAAATTGATTTAATTGTCAGAAAACTGTTTGAGTTACAATTAAATTATTAATAGACAAATTTTAGTAAACAAAAAACTTTCTATTTATAGTATTTAAGAATAAATTGCATTAAAAACGTTGAGTAATTATAAAGTGATACAATAATTAAAAGATTTAATTAGTGTAGTCTACAATACCAATAAAACTAACTTAATACATCAAATTATTGTAAAAATATTTAGTTAAAATGCTCGAATATAATGCAAAATACCATCCCATTTAATAATCATTGTAATAAAAGTAGTAAATAAAAGTGCTACGAACATCAAAAAAGTGTAAATATAGTTAAGAATAACAAGTGTAAAATGTTATTATATTTTATGATTGTTAAAGATCTATTTAAGTTTAACACGTTTAACACGTTTGGGATTGGGACTAAACATTACACCAGTCATAATAAAAGCGGTGTTGGACAAAGTGCTATCACAAGACGATACAATCTGGAAAAGAACGTCATTATAGATTAATGAAATTTTTGTGAATGAAGACATAATACCTGTTCGTCGCGTACGTAATCATTTGGATATCAATGGGCTTCATTGCAAGCTGCGGGTCCGCGTATCCGATGCAACAAGAGTTCTTGGTTTACAAGTCAGAATGGAAAATAAAAAGTTGTGTTGGAGAAGAAATAATTATTTTGGTGAAATTCCGAAATCACTTACAAGACAAAACATCTTTTCTTTGTGCGAAAAAATGACTGAGAATCTTCCAGGTTGTGGTTGGTTGCGTGTGGCATTGTCGTAGATTAAAAGAACAGCAAATGCCTTGACGAAAACTTGAGACAAAAAAATAAAATTAATTATCTTGAGAAAATGCTGAATGATATTGTGAAAAGAACACGAAATGACAATCCTGCTATGGGAATTTGTTTACAGAAACGAGGCAACAATTTGGGTAGATGCTAGTTCAATAGCACTAGACGTGGTTGTCAAGGTTGATGACAATGTAATCGAAGACGCTTGTTGGTTAAGTAAAGACGACACAACACATATAAACCTGTCTGAACTTGATGCAGTAATTAAAGGAGTAAACATGGGCCTAAATTGGAAAATGGAAGTTCTGCACATCTGCACTGATTATAAAGCGGTATTCCATTGGGTTTTTTTATTTTATTTTTTATTTTACTTCACCTCCTCAAGGCCGAGAAGGCCACTACAGACGAGGAGGCTACTTATTTTGTGGCTAAAACCCTCTCTCAACTCTATAACTCCGAAACACGAACCTTGGCGAACAAGGCCGCTGCGCGGAGAAACGAGTTGAGCGCGGTACTACCAGGGACGTGGTGGGGATCGAACTTGGAACCACTCGTTTATGAAGCAAGCGCTCTACCACTACACCACTACCGGGTTGTCGAGGTACTCACAGGAAAATCTAGATTGAGAACAAAAGCTTCAAACAAAATGCTTATAAGAAGAAGATTTCCTAACATTGCAAATATAGTGGAAGTATACTAACTCAAAGTACAGGAAATTATGGCATGAAGAAAACATTGTACTTCGCTCGTAAAATCGAATTGTCAGTGAGCAAGGAAGAAGTAGAACAAATTGTTGAGAAATGCATAGGCTGTCAATCAATTGATCCAAGTCCAATAAAATGGGCGAAAGAGGAAATAGAAGTAAAGAGAACGTGGCAAGTAAGAGTTGACAACGATTCGAATGAAGATCTTGGACAAGAAATGATTTAAATGAGGATTCAGAAGATGATGAAGAATTATCCGTTGTGCTGCCTTGAGAAAAAACAAACAGGACGCAGGTGTTACGTAGAAGCACACGAGAAAGGAGGGCCCCTGAGCGTTTTAGTCCTTGAGTTGGTCATTTTACCGAGGGGAAGTGTAAAGTGTAATTATATTTTATGATTGTTATGGACATACATTGCAAAAAACTGTCCGCATTTTTTGGCTAAGCTTGTAAGAGGTAAGCAAAAAGTTGTAATGATCAGCCTAGCTTCATTTCTTTATTCAGGCTGGTGTAGATGTAAACATTTGTTACATTGTCTCTTGTTTTAAGTTATGAAATCAAAATCTTCTTGATTCTACTTATAGGTTTTTGCTTGCATCTCCTTGCATGTGGCTATGCAACTCTTTTTGTTAACTCTTAATAAATCTACAGCTCTAAATCTCAGTTTAATGTGTTTGAGGCAGACTGGTAATAAGATTTTCTGAAACTCTGCGGTAGCTTCAAATTATACGGCAGCAATTCGATTTTTATATGCTTTTGTTTAGCGCCTCTTTACTCAATCACCTTTTTTTTGTTCTTCATTTTCCTCTCAAGATTGCTCTCTTTTCAATTAATATTCTGATCAAGTTGAATGGATTCCTTTCTCTTTATCCATTATTAGAATGTTGTTATTGCTGACTTTTTTATTGGTAATGCTAATCACAATTATTTGCTTGATACCACTGACCCTGCTTTGAACTTTTCCTCTGAAAGCTGAACTTGTGGAATTCATGTCATTAAACACGCTTTTAAAGAAGAGTAACAAATTTTTACTTTAAACTACCGTAGAAGAGAAACGCGCACATACCTATTAAAGCAAATAGAAATATTTAAATATGAGGTATGCTATATTATTTGATATATAAAAATGTATTCATGATGTTAAATCCTGAACAATTGGATTCACATATTTCATATATTATAGAGTAAAACATTTTTTTCTATTTTAAAATTCTTACTATAACAAAATATATTAATCTAGGCACAACTCCGTCTGCTAAATGATCATCTAACGCCGTCTGCTAAATGATCATCACTAAATTATATAAGCATACATTTATTTTCATTATTATGATTGTATGCTTTATTACAGTAAGCGTAACTTTTTTTGTAAATAATATGAGCACATTCATATTCATATCATATTACAGTATTACAATATAATATGATACGAATACGAAAGTATATTTGTTATTTTTAGCTTAAAATGTCAGTTTAATAATTAGCTTGACACAGTTCGAAAGTGTGACTCAAAAAGATTTAATTATTAGCTTGACACAGTTCGAAAGTGTGACTCAAAAAGATTTAGATAAAAAAAAATAAAAAAAGATAAAATGAAGCAGCTTTAGAATAACAATTTGTATCTTTTTTTTCTTTTATCTAACTTGATAATTATTTTTATAAACTGTGACAAAGTTCATTTGTTTAATTTGTGTGACATTTTAATTATTTAGATTCAGATATATTTAAAACAAACTCTTTTTAACAAATATATATTCAATTTTTTAGTACTCAAAATAAATATTATGTGGCTTGTGTAAAAACACAACCAAGTAGTTATCTAATTTTTTTTATTTAATAGTTTAAAACTTATTGTTTTAGTTATTGTAAATATTCAAAAAATTGTTAATTAGTAAATGTGACCACTGTTTAATTTTATGTTTAGTATATTAAAATTAAGAATACGGGATCAGTGCAAAAAATCACTAAAGGTATACATTACAAAACATAAGCTAAACATCATTGCGGAATCAATATTTTTAGGTTGGTAAATTACAGTTTTAAACATAGCTTGATATTTAAAAAGCATTGGTTCTTTTTTAATTCTAAAGTATGAAATTGGAATTATTAAGTTACAAAATTCGAGTTTTGATTTTTTTCTTTCTGTAATAAATTTTATTGTCTTTTATTTAGTTGTGTCATATTTTTTTAAAATAAAATTAGGATATACTTTCACGATTTTGTAAATAGAAACCAAGAGAGTTTTTTATTGTAAACTTTCACTTTTTTATCTTTTTTTTGATTTAAACTTTTTAGCATTTTTAAAATAAAACTTTTATAAATTTTTCTGACTAAAATCAGGATAAGTTTAAGTGCTTCAGATCAGGTAATTGGAAATCAAGTTTTCAAAACTAAAAAAATTCAAAATTCATCTATAACTTGTCTAAACATTTATAAGGAACTTCTATAAGATTCCAACAATTATTTTTGTGTTTTAAACTGCTAATTTTCAAACATTAAGAAACCTCCAAACAATAATGTATTTATAGTTATGTCAAAAAAAGATGGCAAAACTGATTGATTAGAGTCTGCAAACAAAAAAATTAAATCTTTTTGCCTTAAGGTCCAAACGTGAGTGTAACAAGTTATAGATAATATTATTATTATTATTATTATTATTATTATTATTATTGTTATTATATGATTATATGTAAATTTTGAAAAAGAAAAATTAAATATCTTGTTGTTGTTGTTGTTGTTATTGTTGTAGTTGAGAGTCAATAAGGTTTGAACTACATCAGTTTTAGGGGGCTAGACATTTTATCTTGACATAGTTTTGAATACTAAGAGATTAGGTAACAACATTTAAACATTAAAAAATGTTGGATCTGCTATGATGTTTACTAACACATATATATATAACACATATATAGAGTATAAGGTATAATTTTTTGTAATTAATTTTTTTTTAACACAATTAATTTACTTTTACTAAACGATCTCTGTTGATTTATAAACGGTTTTTAGTTAGAAATTTTTTGTTGAACTGCAACAGCGTTAGAAATAGAATGCCTCAAGGGTCATTATTAGGCTTTCTTCAGTTGATTGTTTATTTTAGTAAAATATTCAGGGCATAATCAAGAGTAACTAAAAACTGCAAATACCATTATATTATAGAACAGCAATGTGTTGCTGCAATTTTATTTAACCCAGTGGTGAATTTGGTTTATTCTGTAAAACGCTAAAAAGTAAAATCCAATTTTTTATTTCAATAGAGAAGCGTTTATAAATTTGATATTGGTATTGGTTCTTACTGATTCGGAAGAAAGAAAAGACCTCTGAAATTTGTTAAACTCTAATAATAAATGGAAAAAACATCTAGTAAGTTGGAGTAATGAAATTACATCTAGTAGACATATCTAGTAAGCGGTAAAGCAAACAGTCAAGTCAAGTGTGCTATCAGGTCAAGTATAGCCGTAAAAACATGCAATGAGGTGTACTCATCAGCGTTGTTTATGTCTCATTGCATAAGTTTGCTTTATTAGCCGAAAAAACCAAATAAAATAAATGCTTTTAACACATTTTTTTTTATCTGAGTCTGTTGCCATGCATAAAAATTCAAAAGTTTAGTAAAATGACATTGGACAATATATGTAAGCACGTTGGTTTGATTTTTATATGCAAATTAAAAACAAATAAATTACTAGAAAAGCATAATCAAAAAATATAAATTATACCTCATTTTTTTAACAAAGGAGGTAGAATCAATTTTATACAGAAGTTATCCATGTTTTTCACAAGTCATGTGCTAACTCGCGACGTTAACACTATCAGTAACTAAATATACATAACACTATCAGTAACTAAATTGTTTCAAAAAGTGCAGATAGAACAAGATAATTTAAACGTGTTCAATCGGCAACTTGTTATCTAATCAAATACCTAGAAAAGTTCTGTTTTCTAAAAATTCTGACTTAAATCAACTAAAACTTTATAAGAAAAGAAACCAATAGGTATTATCATGCATTAGATAAAGGTGGAGAGGTTAAGGCTATTGCTCTTGACATTTCTGAAGCGTTTGATAAAGTTTGGCATGGTGGTCTTCTCCATAAGCCTTTTTCTTACTGTGTATCTCAAAACATCTTTAAGATTATTGAATCCTACCTTTCCAATTGTAGTATAGTCTTCTTCTTTTTTTTTAACCTCAGGGGTTCCTAAAGGTTCAATCCTTAGCCCTATACTCTTTTTTATTTACATTAACTATATTTCAGATATTTTCAAATCTGGCATAGTTCGCTGATGATAATACCATTTATTCTTGTCATGATAAGAGGCTAACTCTTTCTAATTGCTTGAAGGGAGCATCTAAGCTTGAAAAGGATCTCACTTCTGCTACAGCATGGGGCTCACAGTGGCCGGTGAACTTTAATTCAGATAAAACTCAATTTTTTTCAGCCAATCGTTATTGCAACAATTTAGACCTTTCAATAATTATGAACGATAATGTACTCGATGAGTCATCTACCCTTTATCTTCTAGGATTAACTCTTACTTCTGATCTTTCTTGAAAACGATATATCAAATCCGTTGTAAAATTAGCATCTGGTAAAATTGCCTCTCTTTATCGAGCTCGACACTTCCTTACTCTGGATTCTATTTTCTATCTCTATAAATCTCAAATCCGTCCTAGTATAGAAGACTGCTGCCACGTTTGGGGCGGATCTTCTAATGATGCTCTTTCTCTTTTAGAAAAGCAAAAACGCGTTGTAAACCTAATTAGACCTGCTCTTGCAGCCAACCATTATCACATCGTCGTTATGTTGCTTCTCATTCTCTTTTCTACAAATACTATAATGGGCACTGCTCTAAATAGCTAGCGTCAATTTATGCTATCTACTAAATTTCATTCTCGTGTTACTCGTCATTCAATTAAGTCTCATCTTTTTTCTGTTACTGTTCCTAAGTGCTCCAAAAACTCTTATTTTTCTAGTTTTTTTCCTCGAACAACAGTTGCTTGGAATTGGTTTCCTTCATCTTGCTTTCCTGAGACATATAATTTCCAGTCTTTTAAGTCGTCTGTCAACCGTTATCTTGCTTTATTATTGGTTGATTGCAGTCTTTTGGAAGCAAAGATGTTTGAAAAAAAAAAAAAAGTTTTTCAATTTATTATTTTAACAAAAGAAATTAATGTTATAATTTAAAATTAGGCTCGTCCGGTTCGATCCAAATCACCTTAACACTGTATTATAACCTACTTTTGAAAATATAACATTACCATCTAACATTACCATCTCATATTGCAGATGTTAAATTTACGATTGCTTTTGTGTATTTTTCTGTGATAGTCTTTTGTAAATATTACTACAAAAAAACGTAAAATAAGGTTCACTGACGTAAAAGAGGGTTCACCGAGAGGGTTGCCACTCAAATGCCTTATAGAAATGTTGACAATATTACGATTTTAGTGTTAATAATTTTCAATACTGATTGCAGTAAATAATTGAACTTTGTTGGAGTTGAAATTAACATCCGACTGCAGACATCAATCTGTAAGTAAAATTAGATTTATGATTGACAAGCAGTTATAAAAAAAAGAAGGATCATAAAGTTATAAAAAATTAACATAATTAAAATAATCAACAATAATAAACATTAACTAATATTAATTAGCATATATTAACATTATTTTATACTTTTATTCTTATTTTATGTATCTTATGTTTGAAAATAATTTTTTTCTTTATTTATATATGTTTTTAACTTTATTTTAAAAAAATATCACTTTTACTTTTTAAAAGATAAAAATTTTTTTTGTTATAGAATCATCAAAATGGAACAAAATGTATTTCTAAATAATGAATTTCTAAATCAAAATGAAAATATTATTTTCAGCAAAAAGTTCAAATTAAAACTTAGTGAAAGCATAGGAGAAGATTGGAAAACTCTAGGACATTGGTTAAAAATTAAAGATAACTTTTTAGACATGATTGATCATGATTATACCACTAGTGAAACTAGTGAAAAAGGTTATTCCGTGTTAAGTAAATGGATGCAAATAAAAAAACGTCCAACACTTGCAAAGTTGAGAACAGCTTTTTATAATATGAAGAGAAGTGATCTAATAAGAGAAGCAGACATTTTAGCAAGTATTTTTTATTTTCTAATTCATTTTTCTTATTAATTTTTATTAAGTATTTAAAAATATGTATTATTTGTAATTCATTTAAATTTTTTATTTTTATACAATTTTGTTTTGTGGTAATTGTAAAATATAAAGCCAAAAGCTATGGAATACTTGAATTATATCTTAGAATGTGTATTATATATATATATATATATATATATATATATATATATATATATATATATATATATATATATATATATATATATATATATATATATATATATATATATATATATATATATATATATATATATATGTATATATATATATATATATATATATATATATGTATATATATATATATATATATATATATATATATATATATATATATATATATATATATATAAACAATTTTAAAAAATGCATTCTACAAAATGGAGTGCTCAATGTTTGTTAAAGAATAGAGCAATTATAAATTTGTAGAAAATCACTTAACAAAAATTTTTTTCATTTTACACTGTGTTTCATTAACTAAGACTCATCAGAAAAATCTTTAAAAAATTTTTCTGATGATTTTTTGTTGATAAAACTCAGTGTAAAGTAAAAAATATTTTTGTTAAGTGATTTTCTACTAAATTGAAAACTGAAAACAGTGTTTTTTTTTATCTACACATGTTTATATATATCTACATATATATATATATATATATATATATATATATATATATATATATATATATATATATATATATATATATATATATATATATATAAACAATTTAAAAAAATGCATTCTACAAAATGGAGTGCTCAATGTTCGTTAAAGAATAGAGCAATTATAAATTTGTAGAAAATCACTTAACAAAAATTTATTTCATTTTACACTGTGTTTCATCAACTAAGACTCATCAGAAAAATCTTTAAAAAATTTTTCTGATGATTTTTTGTTGATAAAACTCAGTGTAAAGTAAAAAATATTTTTGTTAAGTGATTTTCTACTAAATTGAAAACTGAAAACAGTGTTTTTTTTTATCTACACATGTTTATATATATCTACATATATATATATATATATATATATATATATATATATATATATATATATATATATATATATATATATATATATATATATATATATATATATATATATATATATATATATATATATATATATATATATATATATATATATATATATTTATATATATATATATATATATATATATTTATATATATATATATGTAGATATATATAAACATGTGTAGATAAAAAAAAACACTGTTTTCAATAAAGCTAAGTTTAAATAAGTTAAAGAATAACAAACTTTTATAAAAAAAAACTGATCTACTTTACAAAGATTTTTTTTTTACCATATATTTTGGGCTAGAGCATGCGTCGAACCTCGGGCATATGGCTTCTGAACCAAAACTCTATTAGAACCAAAACTCTATTATAACTGTATTAGATAAAGTGTCGCAGTTACTCTTCATCTCATTTCTACTTTACAAAGCTCGGCTCATATCTATTTTACATTTATTTTTTCTTTTTATTATACGTTGAGTTTAGGAATTATAAAGATGTTTTTAATGAAGCAATGTCTTGTGATATTTTCAAAATCATATACAATCTATTCCACACTTTTACGAATTAATCAAATTAGAAAATAACATCTTAGTAACCTGTTAGTTTTTTTACCAACATTTGTTATTTGCAACAATTTGAAAAAGAAATAATCAATTTAAGTGATTATACGGAGAGACAGGAGAGACTGGTAAGATTAGATACGGGAAAAGAACAGACACTTTGAAATCTCTTATCCTGGCAACATTAGGACAATTATGAATAGGGTCGATATGTTGATACACATGCGCTTTAAAATAGTTAAGTGACAATTTACCGCTTAAAGTCAGATTTTAGTATGAGAAAACGATTTTTTATTTATTTAACTAAAAACTTTCAATTCAAAGTGAATCATTCAAATTATAAACTCTGCCAGAGTTAGTGCAATTTTTTTAAGAATAAACAATTACCAGCGGACATTTAGGAATGTAAGTATTTGTAATCTATAAATGTGTTTGTAACAATTGTTACAAACAAAAATCAACAAATTGTTACAAACAAAAATTAAGAGAATTAATTCTCTTGATTTTTCAACACATTCTTTATGAAGGGACTTTGGACATTTTATCCAAAGTCAAACTCCTAATACTTTTATAATGATTGCTAAATAAAAATTCCCCATGTTCAATGATTCAAGTTTTGTAAATTTCTATTTACACAATTATTAACGACTGCAACATCAAAGTTCCGTAAAAGAAAAGTTCCGCACGAAGGAATTCTCGAGTGAATGCAATCAAAAGACGTAGCGCTAACCTAAAGCTTTTGAAATAAAAGTAGTAACATAAGAAGAAAATATAAAGATCGAGATCAAACAAAGACATTTATTTAAGAGAGTTCAAAAAAGTTTTACCACAAAATGTTTGAGACTGTTTATGCTTAAGGGTGTTTTGGTGCTGTGCATATATACGTGCCATGCAAAAATGTCTGTATTGGCGTATAATAAGATAGTTGTTGCTTACAAGCCATAGATTTTATCCATAAGTTTTGTTTATTGAAATAAAAACAAACAAGCTAAAGTATAACAGTTACTACAATAAACAAAAAAGAGTTTAACACTTTAAGCAAGTTTTTAGTTTTATTATTATTTTTATCTCAGCTCAATCAAAAAATGACAAGAAACTATAAGAGAAAAACCATGTTCTCACCTGAAAAATTAATGGAAGTTGTAAAAGATGTCCAATTACCATCAGAAAGAATACTGCTAAAGAAAGTGTTAGCATATTAAGACTCTTCTACCATATCAAAAAGACTATAATCAGAATATTGATTTAATAACTGATGATGTAACAACTAATATCCAGAACCCTCTAGGTCAATTATTTCTCCGTCTATGGACGCTTCGCTAGCTGAATATTTAACTAAATGCACATCAATGTTGTGTGGTCTAACACTAAAAGCTACAAGACGTTTAGCCTTTAAATATGCGGAGAAAAATTTTAGAAAGTATCAACAAAAATGAAAGCGATTTAAGTTTGCAGGATCTGGTTAGTTCATGCTATATAAAAAGGGTCATCCTAGCGTATATATAAACACCAGACGTTTCAAGTCTCTACTGAATGACCAGTTACTTGGTAGATCACAATATACATTAGGTATTTTCATTGACCTATCAAAAGCATTCGACACGGTCGATCACAAAATTCTACTTAAAAAACTCAAATTTTACAGAATTAAAGGCAAATTAATAAAATGGTATAAAGGTTACTTAAAAATAGAAAACAATTGGTTTTTTATGGAGATTATTTTCAAAATGAAAAATTAATTGACATAAAATGTGGTGTTCCACAGGGTTCTATTCTAGGCCCACTTTTGTTTTTAGTTTATATAAATGATTTAAATAAAGCTTCTAACCTTATGAGTATCATTTTTGGGGACGATACTAATTTATTTCTGTCAAACAGTGACATTTATGAGCTTTTTTCAAATATGAATAAAGAAATCAATCAGATCTCCATCTGGTTTAAGTGCAACAAGTTAACTTTAAACATTGACAAAACAAAATGGATCCTTTTCCACTCTCTTGCAAAAAAGCGTTTTTTACCAAACAAAATAACTTAAAATTTTTATTGATAAAATTGAAATAAAAAAGGAATCGGTCACAAGATTTTAGGCATTTACATTAATGAAAATATTACATGGAATTATCATATCGACTTTATTTCTACTAAATTGGCTAAAAGTATTGGAATTCAATATAAGGTCAGATTTTGTATTGAATTGGCTAAAAGTATTGGAATTCAATATAAGGTCAGATAACTTTTTCTAAGTTAACAAAATTTTATTCTACTCTACTACTTATGTATTCATAGCTATATAAGTTAAGCAAATATTGTTTGGGGAAGTGCCTCTAAAAGTAAGTTACGAAAACTCTACCATCGTCAGAAACACGCAATGCCTTTAATATGTTTTGAAAATCGTTTTTCAAATATATTATTTAAAAACGTTAAAGCACTTAACGTTTAAGAACTCAATGTTTATAATATTTTATGTTTTATGTTTCGTTAAAAAAGTGAATAACCATTGTCCAATTTCAAAGATCTTTTTACTTATAAAGCTATAAACAAATATGCTTTACGAAATAATAATTTATTAATTGAACCCTTTCGTCAAACAAAGTTTAATCAATTTTGCATTAACTATCGAACACCGTATTTATGGAACAAAATTGTTGTTCCAAATTTTAATTTGTCAATTTCATTTTTAAAACTAAATTAAAAACTATATTCTTTCTACTAGCAATATATATAAATATTTTTGAAATGTAAAATTCTTTTTTCACTCTTGATAATTTGTAAAATTATTTCCAGTTTTTGTTTCTTCTACATTGTTAATAGTTATTAGATCAATTGTATTTTATTTTATTATATATACACGTATTATATATTTTATATGGTTCTGGCGACAAGATCATTTGGATCTTCTTTCAGATACCAAGTTTTTATATTGTTATATTGTTATATTACGATTAATTATTGTAAACTAAAAAAAAAAAAAAAAAAGTTACAATAGAATAACAGTAGCAGATTTTTAAAAGAAAAACTTATCTTATTACTAAATACAGTTTCACATAATCCAAATTTTATTATTTGGATGAGACTAGGGTGCAGCAAAGGGTGCAGGGTGCAGGGTGCAGCAAAGTGCAGCGTGTTTCAAAAGTTATAGCTCGATAAGGGCAGCACCATGTCGGTCAAGTGACGTCACGAGAAAGAGGAAAATTCTAAATACATAAAGAAATCATAAGTGCGGCTTGTCATGCCTAACCACTTTTATGCATTTTTCCTCGCCACCGCTTTGATAAAAGAAAAATGATGCAAGGTATTCTAGACTCTTCAGGACTTGGTTTAGTTATCCTCTCTGACTGATTTCAAAAACTATAATTTTTTAAGGTGTTAAAATAATTTTCTCAAAATTTCCACAAAACCTTATTGATCATGGACAACCATGAGTTCCATTTATCTGTAGACGCACTCAAGCCTAGCACATTCATCAAATAAACTTCAATCATTAGACAGAACTGTATTGCCCATTAAAGTATTTTTACAAGAAAGTTCTGAAATCTTTTTAGCATTTATAACATCTTACAAATTTGTCTGTAAGTTTGGGATTGAGCTACTACTCCAACAAATATAAAACCAATGTTCAACAATATAAAACCAAACGTCAAAGCTATGTATTACGTTCACATATTTATAAATAGTAAACAAAACATAAGAATACAAAAAGTATAGACAAGAAATATTAGACAGGAAAATTAAAAATAATGTAAATATATTATGAGCAGCCGTGGCGCAGTGGTTAGAGTTCTGGCTCAGAACCCAGAGGTCCGAGGTTCGATGCCAGCTCCAGCCCAACAAGCGACATTGGTACGGAAGGATGCGTGAACTTCCTGTTAAATGCTCACCCGCGGTGCTCTATGATAAGACCGTAAGGACATCTGGGAGCACCTAAATACATACAAAAAAATATATATATAAAAATTATATTTCATTAGAAATTATTTAAAGTATAAAAGTAGCTGCATACAAGTATAAAGTACTAAAGTAGCTGCATACAAGTATAAAGTAGTAGTATAAAGCTGTTTACAAATAGTAGAACAGAGCTGTTTTTTAAGTCGGTATATTGAATTTGCAAAAAATGTAGAAATCTAGAATGCATCAGTGGCTTTTTACTAGTGATCATTTAAGCAACTGAACAAAACTAATAGGACTCATTATATATTATTTATTTTTAAATATTAATGTCATTATCTTACCGAAGACATTTTTGCTACAAAAAGGTAAAAATAAAATTCTTTATTTTTACCTTATTATTGGCAAATAGTTCATACTGATGGTAATTAGGTTTTCTCGATATGGTATTTGAAGTATTCAAACTTCTGACGTTATATAAATACACTGGCATGGGAACAGGAGGAGGGGGCGGAGGGGGCGATAGTCCTTCAACTAAAATACTGGGTGCAGACATTGCATTTAGCCCCCCCTCTCATATCTTGAACAGTTTTTAAAAAACTTTTATGATAGCCACAGCGGAATTATCATTTTCCAGTCTGCAATGACTCAATCGCAACTAAAAATCACCATGGAAAAGTATATCCATAAAACTGTTAAAAAAACCGCATATTAACTATTTTTTAAATGAATGTGGGTTGGCAAAAGGTGACTAATTACTTTAAAAAGATGATTAATCACGTTGCGTGTAATAAATAATTGAATAAATAGATTTTATTTATCTATTTTGCTTTATTATACAAAATTAAAGAACTTTTCCCTTTTTAATATACATTTTTAACCCCCCCCCCTCAACTTTCGTGACCATACGCCACTGCATAAATAAAAAGTACACCTTTAATTTTTTGATTTCAGTATGTGTACATTGCTATTGCTGCTAAACGTTTGTCTATTCCACCCATCCTATTGCAAGGTTGCTTATCGTGACTAGTTGTAAAAATGTATCATTTTATATAATTTTATAATGAAAATCTTAAAGATGGAAAAAAAGATTTAAAATATTGTAGCTGTTTTAATATTCACCTTCGCATCCATATGGAAACAAATAAATATTTTTCATTTTCATTTTTTTAAAACAAATTGTTGATAACCTTAATAAATTTATACGTTATGTCTACGTCATGCATCATAATAAGATAAAACAAAAAGGTTTGTAATCAAAAACACCTTTTTTGAAATATATTGTGCATTAAATTTTTTAAATAAAAGTTTTGTACTCGGTTCTAAATTACTATATTAAAAAAAAAAAAACAAAGATAATTACGATGATGATGACAAATTTTTTTATATTTAGATATGTCAGAGATATGCACTAAACTGAAAAATTATTATCATGCAACTTATGGAAAAATTTATGAAAACCAACCTCAATTAAAAGCATCGACAAATGTTGATTTCGTTCAGAAGTTTGTTGATTTAAGCATTGCCAATGGAGAGAATGATCAAATGCAAAATGATTTTAATTTTGAACGAAAGGATTTTTTTCAAAAGCAAATAAGTTTTACTCCAATTCCATATAGTGAAATATTCACAAAAGAAAAATCTGTATTATTAATATCTGGAACTGCTGGTATTGGGAAAACATGGTTTCTTAGAAAATGTTTGCTTGATTGGTCAAATAATTTGATATGGGAAAATGTTGAGCTAGTTTTTTACTTGGAATGTAGAATGCTAAATCAGGATCAGAATATTTCAAACATTAATGAACTAATACATTTTTTCTACAAAGATATCATAAATTTAAAAGATGTAAACATTAATAGTTTTGATTTACTGTTTATAGTTGATGGATTAGACGAATTTAAGTATTTTAATGAGTTAATAAATCAAAAACTAAAATGTAAAAATCCAATCGTAAACACTTTAACAGGAATTCATAAATTTAAACATGTAGTTGCTGGTAGAGTTAATGCGGTTGGTCAATATCAAAGTGTATATGCAGAGCATAATGATATTATGACTATTCAAATTATGGGATTTAATGAAAATGGAATAAATACCTATATAGAAAGTAACGTTATAGAAGAAAAAAAACTAATTGTTAAAACTACTTTACAAGATTTTCCTATCGCAAAAGCCATGGCTTCTGTTCCTTTTTATTTATCTTCTATATGTAAAATTGTTAGTGATTCAGAAATAATGTATACAAATTCCTTTCTTACTATGACAGACTTGTATGCAAATATATTTTTATACTTTTTACAAAAACACAATAATAATAACAATAAGTTGATAAATGAGATAATGGAAGATCCTTTTAATAAAAAATGTATTTTAAATATTTGTAAAATTGCGTATGATATGTTTGTTAAAAATAAAGTAATTATTTCGAAAAAAGAAATTCAAACTTTTGTAAAAGACTTTGATCATAATGATGGTAGTCTTTTTGGATTAATTGAAAAGATTGAAACAAATGCAGGCTATCATTTTCAGTTTTTACATTTGACAATAATGGAGTTTTGTGCCTCTGTATATGCATATAACTGTTTAAACAGTGAAGTGATAACGGCCAATGAAATGCTAAAAAGTTGTTTACCAATAATTTGTGGATTAACCAATATAAGTCAAAATAGTTTATTAAAATTTCTAGTTAACCTAAATTCTTCGAATGAATCGTCTTCTTTTATTGGTAAATTTAAACATTTTGTTGGAAAATTATCAGTAATTTTAGATAAATATAAAGTTGCTTAACCTTAATAAAAAAAAATTGATATTTTTAAGTTATTAAAATTTTTTTTTGTCTGATTATGAGATAAATGTTTGTGATGTGTATGTGCATATATATATATATATATATATATATATATATATATATATATATATATATATATATATATATATATATATATATATATATATATATATATATATATATATATATATTTTTTTTTTTTTTTTCTTTTTTTTCTTCATTACATGATTTAAAATACAAATGTTTAAGATACCAATATAAAAGAGAAAAATACACTTGAAAAAGTTAAAAATAAATATAAAGAACGTGAATACTCTAAGAAGACCTTAAGGTCTTGTCACAGAGAACCTCTGTTGAAACTTAGAACATATCTTTCGTTATAGTTTTAAGTTACTTGCTTAAAGGTGCTTGCAACGAAAATACATCTACAAATTACTTCTAAACGACTCCCTTATGGAACTTTTGTCTGTGATTTTTAGATAAACTACATTTACTCAAAATCAAAATTTATGGTCAACTAATCTTCATTCAATAATTATTATTTAATACTTTAATTGAGTTTTTCCACTTCATTTTCTATATCTACGACAAATTTCTTCACGAGTTGTAAGTTTTTTTCTCTTAAAGTATATGTACAATAATAAAGAAAAGGTATTAAGAATGTTACTTTTTTTGTTTTACAGTATTGATCTTTAGTGTACAGATAAATATTGATCTTGATCTTTATTGAATTGTTAAGTATTGATCAAATACTTGTAATTTCATGTTTTTTCTTCGTCTGTAATAATGTTAACTTTTCTGTAATACAACTGTACAATGCTACTCTTTTGGTATAAATACAAACGCACACACATATACACATACACACATATACATGTACACATATCGAGATACATACATACTTACATACTCACATGCATACATACATGTATACATACATACATACATACATATATAAACACATTCATGCATACATACATGCATACATATAGATACATATGCATACATACATACACATATGTATATATATATCCGTATACACATACGTATATATATACATATATACACAGGTACATACACATGCATACGTGAACACAAGAAATATATATACATGGTTAATGATACAAGTTTACAAGTTTAAAAAAAGATCAAAAACTAGCGAAGCAATTTTTTTTAAAGTTGTTTTTTATAATAGCGTAAGTAAAATTAAATATATATAAGCCAAATATCGTAATCAATACAACCTACAATTATATTCGAATAAATGTATATAAATAGTAATTTTAAATTAATAATGATTAAAATAAACCAATATTTAGGTATTTAAGAACTAAGTATAATTTAAAAATAGGGAAAAACTACGTCATTAACTTTCTCTTTAATAAAAAACAACTTCACTCATGAGAAAAATAAATATTTTTTAACAAACTATTGTTCCATAAGAAAGTTCCGCGAAATGAAATACAGGTTTTACCAAAATTAGTTTGGATAATTGGATTTTTAAAAGAATCATAACTTCTTAAAGAATATTAATTTTTTTTTTAATTTAAATAATATAAATCAAGAAAGGAGGTTGGAGAAAAGTTGGTTTTACACTTGAACATAAAACAAAGAACATTAAGAACAAAAAACTTGATTTATAGTAAGATTATTCATATTAATTAAGAGAGGAAGAATAAGAAGAAAATCTTTTAGTGAAGAAGATCTGAGTGAGTAAGAAGATTGTTAAGTCGTGCAATGTGCTTCTGTTGACAATAAAGTGATTTTAAATTACTTTTGTAGGCGCTTCCCCACACAACATTAGCATAACTAATGTGACAATATTAGCATAATTAATGTGACAAAGCAGTAAAAAAGTTGGTTTAATAGATATTTATTCTTCATACTTTATACTCCAATACTTTTTGCAATTTCACTACATAAATTTCTGATATGATTTTTCCAAGATAGATTTTCCTTTAAAATAATACCTAAAATGTTAATTTTGAGGCTTTAATAGATATCAGATACATAAATTAGAAATAATAGGGTATAGATCCTTGTAGAAATCCTAGTATAGATCCTTGTAGAAATCCTAGTATAGATCCTTGTATAGAATTATATAGAATTTCTATGTAGGTTTTGTTAACTTCTACAAAAACTCCTATTGAAATTTATTTTTCTACTTTTTTTTTTATAGAAAAAAAAGTTTTATAGAAATTTCAATAGAAATTAATAGACATTCGATTAAAATTTTATAAAGTTTCTAAAGGTCATATGTTTCAAAAGTTTATAGAAAATTTTAAAAAACTTTTTTTCCTGGGATAATATTCAAGTCTTGCGAAAAGTGTTTCATGGTCAATTGAGTCAAACACCTTGGGTAAGTCTATAAAAACGCCTTAAGTAAATTCTGATTTTTCAAATGATTTAGTAATGCTTCGAGTGAGAGGAATTATTGCATGTTCTGTAGAGTTGTTTCTCTTGAAGCCGTGTTGGTTCATGTAAATTATATTTTTAACAGTCAAATAATTGTATATTTGGTTAAATAAAATTTGCTCTAAACTTTTTGAAAAAACATAGAGGACAGATATTGGACAATAATTACTGAAATTTAATGGTTCACCACTTTTAAATGCTGGTGTAATCTTGCCAATTTTTAATTGGTCTGGAAAAATTCCTCAATTAATTGAACCTCTAATAACTCTTAAAAGAATATGCTTTATATCGTCGTATGAATCTATAACTATGTTACAATTTATGTCATTAGGACCAACGGCTTTGTAAGTTTTTAGCATTTTAAATGCATTTTCAAACTCTAAAAAAGTTACTTCAAATTTATATAATTTAGAAATTAATGGAAAAGCGTAATCATTTATTGGTTTTATCATTTAGGAATATTTTAAGCTAAATTTTGTTCAATAGATTTAAAAAAACTTATTTGGCTTGCTCGCTATTTGTTCGAGTTCATGTAAAACTACGTCATCCGTTTTTATAGTGTTGGTATAGAGCATGTTTTTACCAGTAATTTGACTAAAAATTTGCCTCGTATGGTTTGAACTAGATTTATGCTTCTCTATTAAATTGTAGTAATATGTTTTTTTGCCTTTTTTTTTTGGCTTTCAAATAGTTTAGTGTAATTTTTATAAATTTATTTATTTTCAGGTGTTTGTTTTTTTTAAGTATTTTATATATATAGTTTTTGCTTTTTTTTTTTTGAGGATTTCTTAAGATCTGTATTGACCCAAGGTGACTTTAAGCTTTTACTTTTTTTATAAATTGACGTTTCGGAAAATTTGCATTGTAAATTTCATTATCAGTTTTAAAAAATCTCACATACATTATATTTGCTTCGAATGAACTGTTTACATGCTTCCAATTCATTAGAGAGCTGATCTTTAAATGATGTCATGTTTTTATCATTGAAAGAGAGCTTGTAAAAACTTTTTGTTATTTTCTCAATGTTAATGAAAAAAAAAAAAAAAATGTGGAAATTGTCTGAAACGTCATTTTTAATTATATTTATTCAAAGGGATTTATTAAAAAAATCTTCTTTTTTTAAATAAAAAAATCTATAAAGTACAATTTTTAAAAACAATATAAGAATTAGATTACCCTTTAAAAATTATAAATTAGAGCAATTATATTAATATCGGTTGTTATTATTCTGTCAATTAAGGTTGCTGACGTCGAGGTTGCTCTAGTTGGTTTGTTAATATGCGGTATATGCTAGTTAATATGCGGTATAGCTCCACTTTGGAATAAATTATCATAAAACTTTTTAATGTTGCTTTTTACGTGGTATTTAAAACAATTTAAATTAAAGTCGCCAATTATACAATTTGTTTTCTGTTCCTTTAAATTTGTTTTTAAAATATTACTTTGCAAATATGCATTAAATCTTCAATATGGCAAGATGATGGTCGATAGCAGCTTAAGATATTTTTATTGCTATTCGTTAAAAGTTTAATTGTTAAAATCTCTTTATTGTCATCAGAAATACTTATCTCAGGCAGGCGCGTACCCAGCATCTTTTGATGTTTCAGACAGGACACTTGCACACTTTGTGCAAACTCCAAACTTAAGTATGCTCATACCTATGCCAAATGAGGAAGTCTTGCAAAAATTTGGAACGGCGGAGGCCTGGGAACAAAAAAACCCTAAAACTTTTTCACCCCCCTGCCCAAACGCGAGGGCAGTAATGTAGCATATGATATTAAAAGTATTTGAAGTTTATTACATTTCACAAATTAAAAATTTTTTTTTTTGACTTCTTATATTAAAATGAACAACATTTAGATGATCCCGCTCTAGAAAATCCTTTTTTTCTTTGTTACAAAAGCATAAGCAGCTATTTTGTAACGTTCCTACATCACTAAAATAATTTAGATCCGGTTCTGAATTTTTGTCAAGCACTAAGTTGTTAGATTGAAAAAAGTTAAATGAAAGCGACTCAAATTTATTTTGGTAGGTAGAGTCGATTTTTAAAACTTTGATAATTAGAAACAAAAGAATTTTTTTTAAAAACCGCGCGTAATAAGTTTGTCGTAAACGACTTCAGCAAATTGCTTTTAGCTTTTAATTCTTTTGCGCCTTTAAACAATTGTTTTCTTATTTTAATGTTTCTTTCACTAAAGCCTTCGTTTACAAATTCGTTTACAAGTTTGATAAATTTTTCTAAAACTGAACATTTTTCTTTCAGTTATGGTGGTAGTCTACCTTGAAAACTTAATCGTAGAATTTTTTTTTTATAACTATTATTATTTAGGTACCCCAAGAAAACCTAATGGTCTTGTCACAGAACACAACGAAAGTGCATTTAACCAGGAAGTTTACGCCGCCTTCCTTACCGTGAAAGAGGTTACGCCTCCTTCCGTGGCGTAAACCGTGACGCGAAACTTCTATATCAATAAACTCAGTATTTGGCAACAATATAAAAAATCTTATCAAACTATGGAAGT